TTCCGGTCAAGGGCATGTACCTGGGTTGCGGGCACATCCCCAGTAGGAGATGTGCAGGAGGCAGCTGATCGATGTTTCTCTCTCATCGATGTTTCTAACTCTCTATCTCTCTCCCTTCTTCTCTGTAAAAAATCAATAAAATATATTTTTTTAAAAAAAGAGGGGTATATGTGAAACAGATGAATCAAATGGAAAATATAGTAATAAGGAAAATATAAATTCTAATGTATTATAATTATATTAGAAGTCCATAAACAGTATATCCAGAAATATAATAATTGTTGTTTTACATAAAATGAACAATATCCAGCATTACATATTGAACAATGCACACCTCACAGATATAAGGACAAAGAAATGTTTAAATTGATGGAAAAGAAATACCATTTAAACACCAACAAGGAGAAAGCTGCATCCTGACTATACTATACCATACTTACTATGCTACCTTACACTACGTTATGCTGTGCTATGCTATGCTACAATACACTATACTACACTGTACCATGCCATAGCACACCACACAACACTGCACTACACTATACTATACTATGCCATGCCATACCATACCATACCTTAACAATACCATACCATACCATACAATACTATACTATACTTTACTATTCTATGCTATAGTAGTATCTATATATCTAGCTGTTTGTCTATCTGTATATGTTTCTACTTCTATATAGATATAACATATTTATATTAATATCAGAAGTAGATGAGGTATTAAGGTAAGACCCATTGCTAGAAACTCTTCCTAATTATAAAACTAGTGGTGTGCTCTTAAATGCATTCCTAAAAGTCTCTTTCTCCAACATCCTTGCTTTGTAGGACATACCAATTTTCATAGTGTAATTATTCTTATCATGCCTGATGGCAGTCAGCCAACATTAGGAAGAGATGTGCACAATCAGCCAGAAGCCAACAAAAGGCAGCATTAAAATAATCAGGTAATAAAAAGGGAAGATTACCAGGAGCAGATCATGATCCTTAATAAGTGGCTATTTGATAACATAAAATTTTTAAAAATGCATAAGCAAAAGTTACATATTTCAAAACAGAATGAGACAAAAACACAGTTATAATCATGCAACATGTTTTGCATAAGATTATGGATATATATTATAAGAGATGGGCATGTGAAAAATATTGATTTGGAATAAGGAATTATTAATAATCCAAGTAGCAAACTTAACATAGATGACAGATTAAAAACACTGTACATATGACAGGAAGTATATTCTATGAAAGTTATATGCAGATGTCAACCATACAATAATTTTAGGAGATATGTCTCACTGTGCTCTGACTGCAACAGGAGGATCTAGTGATTGCTGCTTAAAGAACTTAACCCTATTGACACACATGTCTAAGGCCTGTTTGATATCTCTGTTCCTCAGGCTGTAGATGAAGGGGTTCAGCATGGGGGTAACTACCATGTACATGACCGAAGCAATTATGTCTTTGGAACCCCATGATGAGGAAGAAATGTAAATACCTGCAGATGTACCGTAGTATAAAGACACCACAGAGACATGGGAGCCACAGGTAGAAAAGGCTTTAAACAGTCTCTTAGTGGAGGGCGCCCTCAGGATGGTGGTCCCTATACGGATATAGGAGCCCAAAATAATACCAAAACACAAAAACAAAATTATTGTTCCCTCGGTGAATATGACCAGCTCATTGAGAGAGGTGTCTGAACAGCTCAGCTTCAGGAGTGCAGCAAGGTCACAGAAGAAGTGGATGATGGCATTGTCAGCACAGAAAGACAGTCGGACCAAGAGGAGGGTGTGCAAAAGGGCAATTACACAGGAGAGAACCCAGGATCCAGCCACCAGCAGCACACACAGCCCCTCCCTCATGATGGTGGTGTAGTGCAGGGGCTGACAGATGGCTACATACCTGTCATATGCCATCAGAGCCAGAAGAAAATTATCAAGACCAGCAAGAAGCAAGAAACAATACAAATGAGACATACAT